CCTTTTGATACGGCCTATTACGAAAACATATATCCTGATCTGCCAAATAAGCAAGATCAGGTTGGGCCGCATGGTGAGACTTTGTCTCAATAATTAAAAAGAAAAGAAAAAATCCTGAGGCTGGACATGCTCATTCCTGTAATCCCAACACTTGGGGGTCTGGACAGGCTTGTTGAGCGTCCTAGGCTCAGAGTGAGACTTCATCTCCAAAACAAACAAACGAATGAGAAGGTTGTTGAGGTGGCTCAGGAGGGAGAGGCACTTGCCATCACGTCGGAAGAATTTGATACCCTGTGTATATGGTGGAAGGCGAGAACCAAATCCTCCCAATGTGAACCATGGCAAGTGAACCCTGTTTTGGGGGTTTGGGGTTTTTTGGGGTTTTTTTTGTTGTTGTTTTGTTTTTTATTTGACACAGTTTCTTTGTAGCTTTGGAGCCTGTCCTAGAACTCACTCCGTAGACCAGGTTGTCCTCAAACACAGAGTTCCGTCTGCCTCTGCCTCCCAAGTACTGGTATTAAAGGCGTGCGCCACCACCGCCCGGCCCAAAATCAATTTATTAAGAAACAAAATAAAAGGAAATCAAGAGGTTGGAAAGTCCAAAGCTAGTGTAACAGTGGGGACTTGGGTGTGTCCTGTCTTCCTTTTCTATTTTACTTGCAGGGTTCATTCTGGCTTGGGGGAAAAGGATCTCAAGTCTGCATCTTGACGTGTAGTCCATGAAGACCTTAAACTCCTGATCCTCCTGTAACCTCACCTCCGTAGTACTGGGGATTACAGGTATACACTACCACACCCAGTTTAGGTAGTACTGGGGATTGAACCCAAGGCTTTGTACATGCTAAACAGATATTCTATCAGCCTAGCTACGTCCCCAACTCCCAACTGTAGGTATCTGTTAGATGGAAATGCACCACTGTTTTTGCAATATCCTTCTTGTTCCTAATACTGAGAATTGAGGGGCTGAGAGATGGCTCAGAGGTTCAGAGCACTGTGTTCTCCCAGAGGTCCTGAGTTCAATTCCCAGCAACCACATGGTGGCTCACAACCATCTCTATTGAGATCCGGTACCCTCTTCTGGCCTGCAGGGATACATGTAGGCAGATGCTGTATACATAATTAATAAATAAATCTTTTAAAAAAGAAATACTGAGAATTGAATCTAGGACCTGACATCCTCCTGTTTGAGCCTCCCAAAATGATTGGTGTGAGCCACCATGCCCAGCTGTGTGTGTGTGTGTGTGTGTGTGTGTGTGTGTGTGTGTGTGTGTGTACACAAATGCAGGTACACGTGTGTGCGTGCATATGCGTGTCCCAGGAAATCCGAAGGATCCTCCTATGTCTACTTTCCTGGTGCAAAGATTACAGCTGTATGACAGAGAGCCTGGCTTTTAGTGGGTGCTGTTGTTTTTATCTACGTTCTCTTTACCAGTAAATACTCAGGAGTTTGATATTGGGGTGAAAACCTGCTAGATCAGAGAAACCAAGAAGCAACCAGGTGACCTTCCTTTTTGGCTGAAGACCCAGCAAGAAAATGTCTCTCCACACTGTCCCAAACCAAAAAGGACCACAAATCTCTTCAGTCCCTCCCTACTCCTTTCTCTGTTTGTGTCTATCCATCTTAACAGGTCCTCCGTACTCTCTGTGGCTAATTCTTGTCAACTAGTTGCTGCCTCTGCCCCCTGGTCCAAGGTTAATTTTTTTAATAGTCTCAGAGTTTCACAGTCTGAGACTATTTTACAGTCTGATCAAATATCCTGCAACATTTCCCGCTTTTGTTTAAATAAAAAAGTTTTTAACTCTTAACACAGTAAAAGTATATACAAAAAGAATAATTGTCAGGTATTGTCCAAATAAAAAGGTTTCAACTCTAACACAGTAAAACCATACAGCAAGAACAGTTACCAGGCAAGAAGTACATTCACAATGTACAGTCCATTTTTATTTGGAAAATTTGGAGAAAGTACTCTATTATCCATCCTATCTTGGTGAATCCAACGTTTTATACCTAAACCACTTTCTATCATAACTTGTATTACAAACCTAAAAATATCTTTTTAGGTCTTAAAACATTTTCTTAGATAAACAACTTAGTTTTTATGTCTCTTAACCTTATACACTTTACATTTTTTGTAAGTTTCTTTTCTGAATTAGGTAACAAGAAAAACTTTATCTAGTCTTCAATTCCCATCAGAGACCTGAAAAGAATATAATTTTAACTGAGTAAACAGGAAGTGCAAAGCAAGCAACCTCCAAAACTACAGAAATGACAGGGACAGTCACCCAAGGTTCCTCTGTAATGTTAGGGCTTTCATCTTTGACAGACTTTCCTGTGAAGCAGGAATTTTGAAGGACATGCCTGACTTGTCTTGGCAAAGTTCAGCAGTCATCTCCTTTGTGTCCTGCTTGTCCACCTTGGACAGCGTACAGTCAGCAGTCGAGGGCAGTTTCTTGCCCAGTGGCTAGCTTTGCCATATTGAAAGCAAGCCCCATATGGAGGTTCTTCGATGCCCATCATCATTTTTTTAAGTAAATTACTGTTTTGTTTCTGAAATTGGAGTAAACTTTGTTTTTTGTTTAGTTGGTTAGTTGGTTTTGGTTTTTTGAGACAGGGTTTTTCAGTAGCTATGGAGCCTATCCTGGAACTCACTGTTTATCACAGAAAACTGAATCTTCTTCCCAGAATTCTGTTCTCATCACCCTGCCTATACTTCCTGCCTGGTTGCCCCGCCTATACTTCCTGTCTGGCTACTGGTCTATCAGCGTCTTATTAAAATACAATTTACGGGGTACAGACCATTATCCTACAGCATGTGGATAAGTCTGAAGGGTATTTTTTTTTTCTGTCTGTTGTTTTTTTCAAGACAGGGTTTCTCTGTATAGCCTTGGCTGTCCTGGACTCTCTCTGTAGGCCAGATTGGCCTTAAACTCGTAGAAATCTGCCTGCCTCTGCCTCCTGAGTGCCACACAGGCCACCGCCCAACTTAAAGGGTATTTTCTTGATTAACGATTGATGTGGGAGGGCCCATCACCCTGTGGGAGGTGCCACCCCTGGGCAGGTGGTCCTCGGTTGCGTGGAAAAGCAGTCTGAGCAAACTTGCCATTAGCACCATTCTTCCGGGTCCTTGGCTTCAGTTCTTGCCTTGAGCTCCAGCCCTGGCCTCCCCCGACGATGATGGGTGTAACCTGTAAGTCCTTAAACATACCCCAAGTCCTTTGGATCCACGTACTGCTGTGAAAGACCTGACCAGGTCATTTCTGGGAAGGTTGTGGAACTTTGGGCTGGAAAAACCACCCAGAGCTTAGAGCTTGGCGAGCGGTTCTGTGGGGGCTTGGGAGCTGATGCTGAGCCCCCTGACTTGTGAGGGTTCTGAGGGATTACAGGTGTGCACCATCACGGCCAGCATCCAACTTGCCGGTCACTTTAAACAATCCTGTCCAGTTTGAACCCCCCGTCTCGGGGAGGATCCCACATGCTCGAGAGTGGTAGATTCCCCTCCATTACAACACATCCTGTTGATTCGAGTCTGACGTGAGGTTGCCCCTCTGTAGCCCCCACCCGAGGTGCTGTTTATTGGGAACGCTATGGGGGGAGGAGGGGAACTCCTGTTCAGGGGGAAATCGGAACTCGGGGAGATGTAAATTATATTTGAGTTTATTTATACCTTGGCCAGCATTTTCATTGTCCATGCGCCAGCTGACACTGTCTGTTTGGACAGCTTGCTGTAAAGTCAGCCCTGGCGCTGCTAGTCACCAGCTGCGTGAACTTGAGCCTAATTACAGCCTTTTCCCCTTTAAAGAAGACTGAATCCCCCGGAAAGCCTGAGTACTGTCTCCTGTGTTTGGATTTCTTCTAAAATTACATTTACTTGAGTGTGTGTGTGTGTGTGTGTGTGTGTGTGTGTGTGTGTGTGCGTGGATATACACATACACACTCCCTGGTACCAGTGTCGAGGTCAGAGGGCAACTTGTGGGTCCTGGGAATTGAACTCAAACTACACAGCAAGTGCTTCTAACCACTGAGTCGTCCCGATGGCCCAGGCTTTCTGTCAAGAAGTGCCTCACTGAAAGACCCAGGCGTTCCATTCTTATGCACACACAACAGACTTGTGCGTACATGGGCATCAAGAGCCATATTTGTAGTGTAAAAACTCCCATAGCTGCATTGTTTGTACCAGCCCAAAGCTGATAACAACCCCAAGTAAATTATCTCTAGGATTAAAGGCGTGCACCACTACCACCTGGTTTCTATGGCTAACTAGTGTGGCTCCTGGGATTGAAGGTGTGTGTCACCACTGCCTGGTGTGTCAGACTCACCAGTGGGGCCTGCTTTAGTCTCTGATCTTCAGCCAAGCTTCATTTATTAAAACACAAACAAAATATCCCTCCAGAATGCACCTTGGGATGTGCACATTTGAGATCTGAGCATTCTTAAATCCACTGATCCCTCTGAACAGGCTGGGGACAGCATCCTCCTCCCTTTGTAAAATAACACAATGCAAGCTTGGTGCACGAGGAAGATACTTTAGTGTGTTTGTGCTACAATGAAGAAATCAATTTCAAGCCGGGCAGTGGTGGCGCACACCTTTAATACCAGCACTTGGGAGGCAGAGACAGGCGGATCTCCTTAAGGCCAGCCCGTTCCAGGACAGGTTCCAAAACTACACAGAGAAACCCTGTCTTGAGAGGAGAAAAAAAAAAAAAAAGAAGCAAAGCAAATCAATACTAACAAGATTTGTTTTCTTTTTAATTAGGTATATGTGTCTATGTGGGGGTCTGTTCACGTGAGTGCCTAGAGTCCAGAGAGGGTATCGGATCCCCTGGAATTGAGGTTCAGGCAGTTGTGAGCTGCCTAATGTGGTGGTTAGGAGCCACCCAGTGTCTTCCGTCAAAGCAGCCCGGGCTTTTAACTGCTGAACCATCTCTTCAACACCAATACTAACTTTATGTGTTTGCAGACACATAGTCTCACACACACACACACACACACACACACACACACGAGGTCTGTCTGCTTCCCTATACTACAGGGGTTACAGGTGTGTGTAACTACACCTGACTTTTTACGTGGGTGCCGGGGACCTGACACAGGTTCTCATACTTGTGGAGTAAGCGCTCTTTCCTGAGGAGCCAGCACCCCAGACCCTCAGACCCATTTTCAAGGTCACCTATATTTAGACAGGGATTATGCTTTGTGGTGGTCTTTATTTGTAGCTGTTGGTTGTGTGTTTCTTCTTGCTTGCTTTTTTTTTTTCCTTCCTATTTTTGAGACATGGTCTCACTATGTAGCCATGGCTATCCTGGAACTCACAGAAATCCACCTGCCTCTGTATCCTGAGTGCTGGAATTAAAGATGTGTACCACCACACCTGGCCACACTTTGTGGTTTTGTGTTTGAACCTTTGGTAGGCAGGGGGGCAAGGGATCATGAAAGATGATTATTGTAATTCCTCTTGGTTCACTTACAAACAGCACTGTTGTCTAAGATTTAACTCTTGTTTGTTTGTTGTTTTAGAGAGGTAGCTTTGGAGCCTATTTGGAGTTAGCTCTTGTAGACCACACTGGCCTCAAACTCACAGAGATCCACCTGTCTTTGCCTGGGAAAAGTGCTGGGAAAAGGCATACACCACCACTGCCTGGCCTAGATTTAACTTTTTAAATTTTTATTACTTATTTTTAAATGAGATTGGGCATGTTCCGGGTGATATGGCTGTAGGCTTGTTAATTTTTAATTGTTTAGGTGTGTGTTTGTGCATGAGTACAGTGCCTGCAGATGCCAGAAGACAGTGATGGATCCTCTGGAAACAAAGTTATTGGCAACTATGAGCTGTGGAAATCAAACTCCTGTCCCTTGAAAGAGCAGTATGTGCTTTTAACTGCACAGTCCCCTCTTGGGCCCCGAGGTAATAAATGGTGTTGGAGAGTGAGGACGATGGACGCCCACAAAATCAAATACTTAATAACTATTATCAAGCCTGGCTACTTAGATGACGAGATTAGATGCCCAAAATTAGCCAAAGGAATAGTGTTCAGATGTGAAAAATAGGAATTCACTTTGGTGACTAGCTTCAATAGTTTTGGTTTTGTGGTTTTTGTTTTTTGTTTGTTTGTTTGGTTGGTTTTTTGTTTTTCGAGACAGGGCTATGGAGTCTGTCCTGGAACTCACTCTGTAGACCAGGCTGGCCTCGAACTCACAGAGATCCACCTGCCTCTGCCTCCTGAGTGCTGGGATTAAAGGTGTGTGTCTCCACCACCTGCCTAGTTTTGTGTTTTAAGATGGGGTCTTGCTTTGTAGTCCCAGTTGGCCGTGAATTCAGGGGCCTCCTTCCCCAGCTTGGTGTGAAACTGTGAAGCGCCAGGCGCATTGGCTGTTCGCCCATACACACCGGCTTACGAGAAAGTCTCTTGTACAAGGGATGCAGTCGGTCTCTTCACACTTCAGTAGGTGAGGTTAGAATAGACGTAATCCGTTTTATTACCAGCATGGCCCTCTGAAGCAGAAAAGAGAAAAGAACTCAGTCACTTCCAGCGATAAACTCAGGCAAAGCCTAAATGGGATCCCCATTTCAGGAGTGTGGGCTCAGGGGTAACAGCACTTGTCGCCAAGTTCTATCCCAGGGTCCCACAGGGAGGAAGGAGAGCACTGACACCAAGTTGTCCTCAGACTGTCAGTGGGTCCCAGCAGGCTCCTCATCTCAGCACTGGGGTCACGGGCTTTTTGCATGAGGGTTGGGGGTCCACACTGATGTCCCATGTGAGTGAGGCAGCCAAGAGCTCCGAACGCAGAGCCATCTCCCCAGCCCTCAACTGCTCCTTGAAAATGTTTCAGTAGTGACTGAATCCTCCTCTTGGGAGTTTTTTGATGTTTTTTATTCTTATTTTAATTTCGTGCGTGTGAGGGGTGTATGCACACGTGGGCACAGGTGCCATTGGAGGCCAGGTGCTGAAGTTACAGGCGGTCGTGAGCTGCCTGACTTGAGCGTGGGAAGTGGACGCAGGTCCTCTGGAAGGGACAAGTCATCTCTCCAGCCTGTCTTGGAAGTATTTAGAAGACAGTCTCTCTACCTTGTCTTTTTCTCCTCCAGCCTCAGCACCTGACATATTTGTGGGAGCTGTTATTGATTACTGTTGACTTTCTGGGCACCTGGGGTCCCCATATCCCAGATACAAAGTCCCTGCTCACAGTGATGTCGCAGGGACTCTTGTCTCATTCCAAAAGCATCTCTTGTCCCCATCATGGCTCACCTTGTTTCCTGGGTACCACCTCCTTGAAGACTGGAATGGCATAGTGTAGCTCCTGGGGTTGTCCTGCCTCTGAGCAAAAACAAAGAGAACCAAAAAAGGGAAACAATGCATAGCATCACTAAGATGATTCTTGAATCCTCCAACCATGGGGCGGGGGTGGGGGGGGGGCGCCAAGAAAGAACACTTTCCTTTGTCAGGGCTTGCACAGTGCTCAGAGCGTGACCGGGAGCTCAGAGTGTGACCGGGACCAGTTGAGCTGCCTGGGACGGAGCCCTTAGCTAGGTAGGCCCTTCCACCACAAAGCATCCAACAGGCAGTGTCTGATCTGATAAGCAGCTAAATATTGTACGGTGTGGTGACTCTAGCTAGTCATTAAGTACTACCCTCTTGAAGACTGCGGAGGACCAATTTTATGTTCTCTCACTCCAGCACTCGGCTGGCATGTGTGGAGCCCTGGGTTTGATTCTAAGCATCACAAGAAGCAAATAAGCAAGCAAACAAAAATGAGACATGCTCACTTCTGCAGCATGCAGACTAAAATAGATACAGAAAAGGTTATCACGGCCTCTGGGGAAGGATGATATGCAAATTAAGTCACATTTGTAATCCTAGGACTAGGATGAAGTAGGAGGATTGTCATGAGTTTGAGGTCATCCTGGGCTGCATAGTGAGTTCAAAGTCAGCCTAGACTAGATGCTAATAAAAAAGTGAACAAGCAAACAGAAAAAAAAAATCTGCTCCCAAATAACCAAGTTGCACATAATAAACATATATAGTTTTTATTTGTTATTAAAATAGATGTTTTTAAAGATCAACTTGGACATAGTATCACATATTTGTGATTCCAGAGCTCAAGAGTCTAAGGCAGGAGGATTGCAAGCTTGAAGCCAGGCTGGGCTACATAACAAGGCAGTCACAAAACAAAACATATTAACAACAAAAACTTTTTTAAAAAGATGATCATAGGCAGTGGTGGTGCACGTTTTTAATTCCAGCATTGGGAGGCAGAGGCAGAGACAGGCTGATCTCTGAGTTTGAGGCCAGCCTGGTCTACAGAGCAAGTTCTAAGACAGCAAAGGCTACACAGAGAAATCTTATCTTGAAAAAACAAACAAAAATATGATTATGAAAGACTTTGGGATACAGCATGGGTCATCCCAAGCTAATATAAAGTCATATCTAAGTATTCAGTAAAAAAAGAAAAAAGAATCGAGGCTAGAATGGCCAACTGGTGACATGCCACATCTGGCCATCTGGAGAGTGGGATGGGGGATGGAAGGCAGAGGTGGGAGGAGATGGGATACTCTGTTACTTTCCTTCCCTTTTTTTTGTTTTTAACCCATCTTTCTGGAGAATCTTTTTTAAAAATTATTTTTTTTTTCATAACCAGAGCTGTGTAGAGTACTTGTCTAGCATATGTGATCCCTTGGGTTCGAGTTCCAGCACCATACCATATATACATATTATACTATACATGTCCACAGTCACCCCAAACCAACCAAACTCATCAAAGCAGCATACCACATATACATATTATACTATACCAGTACACAGTCACCCCAAACCAGCCAACCAAACTCATCAAAATAGCCGGCCAGGCTCCTAACCTGTCTGAGTCTCACAGACGTTTGCATACAGCTCGCCTTGCGTGACTGCATCTCCAGAACTCTTGGACTGGCTCGCTCTCTGAGCTTTTCCTGACCAAAAAAAAAAAAAAGGCAGAGTTGTCACATTTAGCCAGTTTAGACATTTTTCCTGTCTTCTCTGCCAAGGTGCAGAATTTCCCATAATTCTAAGAGGCATGCTTCAGTGCTGGCCTGAAGTAATGACGGACACGACCACAGATCTGTGTGGGACAGCCACTCCTCTGCCCCAGGCCTCCTGACCAGGCCTGTCTTAGCCTACAGATGTTTTCTCTCCTTCCTGAGAACAGTTGGTAGGGAGTCTTGAGTCACCTTCCAGAGATGAGTGATGCAGCTAAGTTCTGTCAGCAGAAATTTTTTAAGACAGGGTTCCTCTGTGTAGCCCTGGAACTTGATTTGTAGAGCAGGCGGGCCTTGAACTCTGAGACCTCCTGTCGCTGCCTCCCGAGATCTGGGAATAACAGCGTGCACAAATCTTAATGCCACTTTGACAATGGTTTTGTTTGCAGAAAAGGGAGATGTTCTGGAGATGTTTGAGGAGCTGTGTTAAGTAGGACACCCACTTTCAAGGGTTTTTAGGGCATGCGAGCTCAGCAAGGACCGTACTACTGACCTGTCCCAGGGGCTTTTCAACTATTGTATCAATGGAGTGCCTGCCCTCTGTGACCTTTGTCCCTGTAGAGATGCAGGGAGGCACAAGGGCCTGACATCTGTGAATGAGTCTTACTAATTCAGAGTTTCTCCATAGCCCTGTTCCACAGACCAGAAGGCTGAGACCCAGAGAGGCAAAGGCACCAGGTACCCAACAGCCCTCTGTTTGGAGCTTTCTATGCTGAGACACAGTGCTGTCTTGTGCAAATCTAGCTCTTTCTCCACGTGTGTGTGACCACGGAAGGGGCCACTCTGGAATCTTTACCAGAGAAGGGCTTAGAGGGAAATAGGGAACGGGAAAGGCTCCTAACTGAATTGTGAAGGAAGGGTTTCTTTCCTTCTTTTTCTTTTCTTTTCTTTTCTTTTCTGAGACAGGGTTTCTCTGTAGCTTTGGACCCTGTCCTGGAACTCCCTCTGTAGACCAGGCTGGCCTCGAACTCACTGAGATCCACCTGCCTTTGCCTCCTGAGTACTGAGATTAAAGGCATGTGCCACCACTGCCCAGCTGGTGAAAGGTTTCTTGTTGCTGTCATGCATCAAGTGGGAAGAGAGAGAGAGGTCCCCATCCAATGCCACACCCCAAGCTTCCTGAAGGTGGCTGAGAGAGTAGAGGCTCCACCCTTGGAAGGGCTTCTTCTCGGGACCACCTCTATGATATACAGTGAGCTTCAGGAGTCTCTCGCTGTGAACAATGACGGCCATACACGCATGCCCAGGTGCACAGAAGCACTGTTTATCACTGCCACCCAAGCATGGGATGCAGGGGCAGGAAGATGACATTAGGTATGCACACAGATCAGTGTTCCCCAGCCTAAAGAGGGAAGAATTCTGCTGTGCACAGGGAGCCACACACCAAAGGGCAGTCCCTGGGGATGGGGCACAGTTGGTAGAATCCTTGCCTAGCAAGTAGGTTCATTCTGCACACCTGCAACCCACCCACTCAGGAGGACCAGAAGTTCAAGGCTATTCTCAACTACACGGTAAATTTGAGGGCAGCCTGGGGAATAGAGGAGACCCTGTCACAAAATAAGACAGGCAACTGCTGCAGAATGCCGCTGGAACAAATAGTTAGAGCTGTAGCGACAGAACACAGAAAGGTGGCTACGGGGCAGGGGAGACAAAGCAAGGGAAGCTGACAAGGGTGTGGGGTCACTGATGGTCTCACAGCCACTAACAAGCACACCTGAGGAGCTGAGGCGTGATTCCATGTAGAGCTCTGGTTTAGCACATGGCGTTCCGTTAAAAAGAAAGATAGGGGAGTAAAATTGCAAATTTCATTGTGTACGTATTTTTAGCATAATTTTATGAAGAGACAGGCTGGTGATGCTGCTCAGTTGGTAGAGTACTTGCTTGGCGTGCACGATGCCCTGGGTTTCATCCCTACTGTCAAATAAATTGAATGGAGGGGCCTGTGCTTGTAATCCCAGCACTGGATTACAGTGGGGATCAGAAGTCACAGTGAGTTCAAGGCCAGCCTGGGCTACAAGACCCAGTCTCAAAGGAAAAAAAGTATAAATTGGGAGTAGTGGTGCATGCCTATAAGCTCAGCATTCCTAAGCTGAGATAGGAGCATCATTGTGAGTTCAAAGCCAACCAGGCATACATAGAAAGATCCAATCACAAAATAAAAGTACAAATATTATTAATAATTTAGAGACAGTAGCTGCAGCTGCAGAATTCTAATTCAGTCATGGGGATTGGGGGCATAGGGCTGTGTGTAAGCTGTGTCCAGGCGAGGTTGGCTCTCCAGACAACCCCCATCAGAAGAAGGTCCTCACTGAGGACTTGAAGTTCAAGCCCTGTGAGCCTCATGAAATCTGTCTCTTCACCTCTTCATTTCTCATCTCTTAATTTTGCTTGGTTTTTCAAGACAGGGTTTCTCTGTAGCCCTGGCTGTCATAGAACTCACTCTGTAGACCAGGCTGGCCTCAAATCTGGAGATCTGCCTGACTCTGCCTTCTCAGTGTTGGGATTAAAGGTGTGCAACACCACCTGGCTTCGTCTCATTTCTTTCTAAATTTTTTTTTTTAATTACATTTAGTTACTTGCTAGTGTGTGGTTCTAGGCACACCACACAGCACTGTGGAAGTCAGAGGACAACTCACCGGAGTCAGTTTTCCCCTTCCATCCTATGGGCTCCAGGGATCGAACCCTCCTCTTTATTTCCTCCCTACTCCATGTCTCCCATCCAGGTCCTAACCAGGCCCACTTTCCAACCATCTGAGATCAGAAGACCATAGTTTCACTGCTCCACTTTTTTAAATTTAAGTATTCTTTTTAAATTTTTACTTCTTTTATGTGCATAAGTATTTTGCCTGCGTGTATGGACACCCTGTGTGTGCCCAGTGCCCACTACGGGTCAGGAGAGGGCACCTGATCCCCTGAAACCGGAGTTACAAGGGCTCGTGCTACACTGTGGGTGCTCCCAGCTGCGGAGCCATCTCTCCAGCCCCTCCCTGCTCCATTTCTGACTCTGCCCCTTTCCCTCTGCCCCGCTGAGTCTGAACCTCACAGGACCATACCAGGGAGAACTCACCTCTTTTGTACTTTGTTCGAATGAAGAAAACCAGAACTAGGATTATTCCCAGCAGCCCCAGTAACACTGCTGGCAGCAGCTGTGACAGCAGACATGAAGGGCAGCTCTCTTCTGTAAGAAAACAGCATTCGCAGGTCACCACTGGCTAGAACACCGACCTGCCAAGTGCGCTAGGAAAGGCCGCCATGGCTGTCTCCTGAGTTAACCAGTACACTCTGTACCTCATGAGAGTTCCCATGCTGGGCCACAAAGTTCTTAAAGTCATATCCTCATTCTCCCTCCCCCACGGGCATCACAGAGCGGCCCAGCTCTTCATGCTTGGGTTCCTCACAGCGCAGTAAGTAAGGACAGACACAGGGTGCTCGGGGCAGCTCTTAGTTAGGCTTGCGGGATGCGGGTCACCCAAACAAGTCCCACATGTTAGGTGTTACATGCAGCATGGAGTTAGATTGGTCTGGGGCTGGCGGAATGACTCAGGAGGGTAAAGCGCTGTCAGGCAAGCCCGAGGACCTGAATTCAAGCCCTGGAACCCACACTGAGGAAGCAGAGAGCATCCCCGTCGAAACTGTCCGCTGACATCCACTTAGTGCCGCATGCACAGGTGTGCATGCACACATAACAAATCAAATCAGTTTAGACCTGTTCCCATCTGACTGCCCAGGACAGCTGCCAGGTCTAGAAGGATAAAAGTGGGCACTCAAACAATATCCAGCCATACCGAGTACTCCGTCCATGCACACAGATCAACCCCTTACTCCAGCTCACTGGCTTCAAGGCTAACGACCTGCTGAGGAGCCACACACACTTGGGGACCAGACAAGTAGCTAGCCTGACTAACCGCACGCGCAGTGTGGCCCAAGCCAAGTGCTGAGGAATTAGAGGGTGGAGCGCGGTCGCCTCTTAGCTCAGACTTCATTATGTCTTGTCTTGAACTTGCTATGCAGCCGTGACTAGCTTAAACTCCTGACTCTCCTGCTTCCAATTCCCAAATGCTGAGATTACAGGTGCATAACACACCTGGCTATTTGTTCTTGTTTTGGTTTTTCAAGACATGGCTTCTCTATGTAGCCGTGACTGTCCTGGGACTCGCTCTTACAGAAAAGGCTGCCCTCGAACTCAGATTCACCTACCTCTGCCTCCTGAGTGCTGGGATTAAAGGAGTGTGCCACCACCGCCTAGCCAGTTTGTTCATTCTTGAGAATGACTGTAATCAAAATTTATTTAGGGTGTGTACATACATACACTTATGTGTGCATATAGACGCCAAAAGACAACCTATGGGAGTTGGTTCTTTCCACTGTGTGGGTCCCAGGGGTCACACTGAAACAGGCAGACTTGGTGCCAAGCACCTCCACTCACGGAGCCATGGGCATGACTGTGCCAACAGTCCAGTCCCAAGTATACGGTGGAAGGTCCACTTTGTTCTAAACCAAAAGTATCACACTTCTATGTTTCCATTTATAGGATTCAGTTATAGAAGTATTTTTACTTCCTCCAAAAAGCAGAAGTGGCCTTGCTAAATTTATTCAAGGGAAACTCAAAACAGGAAATACAGGGCTCTGGTCTGCTGTCAACCCCTACTCTTTTTTTTCTACAGTTTGGTGTTTGTTTTTTTTTAAATAGATTTATTTAGATCTATCTATCTACTATCATCTATCTATCTATCTATCTATCTATCATCTATCTATCTTTGCTTTTTGAGATAGGGTCTCTCTCTGTAGTCCTGGCTGTCCTGAAACTCCATACGAGTCATCCTTGGCTACGTAAGTGAGTATAAAGCTAGCCTTGGCTACGCAAGAGCCTGCTTCCAAAGGAAGAAGGAAAGGCCCAAGGTCATGGTCCTGACAAACGCAGACTGGACGCAGAGCCCTGACCCCCACTACTCCAGACCCCTGCAAACTTGACGCCTATGTCTGAAGTTTCCCCTGGGCTGGCCTGCTTCTCTGACCTTCAACCACCTCGAACTAGCTCGGTCCCTACCCCAAGCTGGAGCCCTGAACGTGCTGAGAACATCAACCAGTGCCCTCTTTTCCCAGTCTCCCCTCATAGCTAGCTCTTTCTCATTCTCTACCTCGCCTAGGTGGGCCCTCCACCAGACCTTGCCTTTCTCCACGCTGTGCCAGTGTCCTTAACAACAGCTGGCACAGTTTCCGAGTCATTTGTCTGGGTTTTGTGTCCTTCCCCCTAGACCAGAGGCTCCATGAGGGCAGGAACCACCCAACCAGAGTCAGGGTATGGTTCACCCAGGTTCTCGAGCCTTAGCTGACAAGTGAATCCCGGAGGGAGAAGCCTGTGCTTATGGCTCCAGCCATCAGTCCTGATGGGGCTCAGGGAATGACCTTGGCTTAGGTACCACTGGTGTCCTGGAAGCAATTTAGCTTCAACAAACAGCAGCCTGCACCAAGTGAGCCGTCGATAGAGACGTACCTGTGAGACTTCACTGAAGATGGTCATGTTTTATAATCCAGCAACAGTTTGATGGGACAGAATGTCACTCGAAAAAACCGCAGGACCTGGGCGGTGGTGGCACACACCTTTAATCCCAGCACTCGGGGGGCAGAGGCAGGCGGATCTCTATGAGTTTGAGGCCAGCCTGGTCTACAAGAGCTAGTTCCAGGACAGGTTCCAAAGCTACAGAGAAACTTTGTCTCAAAAAAGCCAAAACACAAAACAAAAAAGGAGGGCTTTGTGCAGAGAATGCACGTAATGCGCGTTTGTCGGCCTTACCATGCAGGGCAGAGGACTCTGTTAGATCGCTGTGTGCCACACCTCCAGGGCTGTGTCAGTTTCCTCCTCCCACTCCACCCTATGACAGCCACAATCGCCACTTTTGTTATATCTGCTGCCTCCCACCTGGAGCCCATAGCATGAGACTCTTGTCAAAACCTGTACCTCTGGCCGTGCTGGCAAAGAGCGGTGTCACCTTGATCAGATCTAGAATCCCCTAGGACTCGAATTTCTGGGCAAGTCATGAGGGATTATATAGATTAGGTTAACTGAGGTGCACAGATCCACCCTAGGCGTGGGTGGTGCCATCCCATGGGAAAAGTCCCAGGTTGTATAAGAGAGAAAGTGGCCTGCTGACACCTCCCTTGGGATAGAGGCTGGTGAATGGATCTCTGTGAGTCTGAGGCCAGCCTTGTCTACATAGTGAGTTCCAGGCTAGGCAAGGCTACATAATAAGACTGTGTCCAAATAATAATAATAATAACAACAACAATAATAATATAATAATAATAAAAACAGAGCACAAGGATTCTCCTCACTCCCCCTCCCCCCGTCTCTCTCTCTCTACTTCCTGTATGTGGATGAAATATGACCCACTACCTCCTGCTCCTGCTGCTGTGACTGTCCCTTTCTGGATGACTGTGTCACTGGGGACGCAAATTAATCCTTTCTCTTGAAAGGGTTTGGCCAGGTGTTCTGTGACAGCAACCAAACAAGTGACCGGCACCCTGGTCTTCTGAGCATCCCCTGTGGAAAGAACGCCCTGCTGTGCTAGGTTAGATTAGGACATTTGTACCCTAAGATTCAGAGCCTTTGACCTGCATTTCCATCTGACAAAACCTCCTGTAGTGATAGACATCTGCTATGTTGTCCAGCATGGCAGAGTCACTGGTTACCTGTGACTCTTTTTTTTTTAATTTTATATATTTTTTTATATTTATTTCTTTATTATGTATACAATATTCTGTCTGTATGTCTGCCGACCAGAAGAGGGCACCAGACCTCATTACAGATGGTTGTGAGCCACCATGTGGTTGCTGGGAATTGAACTCAGGACCTTTGGAAGAGTAGGCAATGCTCTTAACCACTGAGCCATCTCTCCAGCCCCCCCTATGACTCTTAAATACCAGAAATGTGACAAGGTTGTGGCATCGAGGGTTTTTTGTTTTTAATTTTATTTACTTCTTTTATGACAGTGTCTTACCACGTAGCCCTGGTTAGCCTAGAACTAGCTCTATAGACCAGGCTGGCCTTGAACTCACAGAGATTCACCTGCCTCTGTCTCCTGAGTGCTGGGGTTAAAGATCTACCCAGTACTATGGTATTGAGTTTTTAAAGTGTATTAATTGTGTGTTTGTGCACCAGTGTGCACACGCCTGCACGCACATTCAAATGAATGTACACTGGTGCGCGTGCCACAGCATGCATGTGGCGGGAGAGAACCGTTCTGTGGAGTCAGCTCTTTCCTTCCGCCTTTATGTGAGTTCCAGGGATCAAACTCTGACTTGCACAGCAAGTGCCTTTACCCCACCGAGCCATCTTGCCAGCCCTGGAATTTTTTACTACCGTTTTGATTCGTTTGAATTTAATTTGGCATGGATGATTGTGGCTTCGGGTCCCCACACTGGTAGACCTGGAGAACCAGTGGTTGTTTATGAGGTTTGACGAGACTGTCTTTAGATCCCTTCCCTCACTCTCCAAGGGGCTCACTATCAAGGTCACCACAGACAACTGGTTCTGGGCTAAGAGAAGCATGGGAAGGCAACAGAGAAAAGCAGACACATGCGGTGTGGCTGGGCGGGAAGGGTGCTGGCTCGAGGGGCTTCAAGCTTCAAGGGAAGGAGAGTGGAGAGCTGGCTGATCTTGGTTAGATGAGGGAGGGACTAGGAGATCAGGAAGCACTTCCTTAGAGGATTAGCCAAGCAGGGAAGACAGTCTCCAGCCTTGAGACTGAGGGCCAGACAGAATAAGAAAGGGGAGGAGAAAGCCTGCAGCAGGACTCTACACTGCTGCTTCATGTCTCCAGCCCCTTTGCATGTTCTTGACTGTTTCGAATTGCCAAGAGCCCCTCATAGCACCAGAGAGAGTCCCTTCTGCCCCCCTCCTCCCCTACCCCCACCCCCACCCAGGCCTCCATTGTATGGTGAGAGCCACTTACTGGCGATGGTGAAGTTGAAATCCTGACTATATTTCCACCCACTGGAATCATTGGTTTTGCATTTGTAGGGGCCTGTTTCGTCGGCATTGGAGATCTTCAGGTAAAAAGTCACAGTTTGTCCACTTTTCTTGGTTTGTAGGTGTTTCCTACCCAAAAATAGCGAATAGGTGACATTCACTGATGTGTTCTTGCTGGAACAAGACAGAGATACATTCTGGCCCATGCTGACCACATTCATACTTGAGTTCAGCTTTGGAGAAGGTAAATCTGGAAAGACAAAAATGACATGGAGGTCTTCGTTAAGACCCCTCGACGGGGCTAGAACTGTAATGGAGTGCTTGCCTAGCATGCACAATGCCCTGGGATAAATCAGGAATGGTAGCTCATGCCTGAAATTCCAGCTCGTGGGAGATAGAGTCGGGAAGGCTCAGGAGTCCGGGGCCATCCTTAGCCATACAGGAGTTCAGAGGCAGGCTGGGCTCCAGGAGACCCAGTGTAATGGTTAACAGTGTCAAGCTGACAGGCTCTAGGACCACATAGGAGACCGCCTCTGGGACATCTGTGAGGAAGCTTCTAGACTGGGTTAACCAGGGTGGGGAACGTGAGTGTGGGTGATCCACCAAAGGTCTGTGTTCCCAGTCTGAATAAAAAGGAGTCAAGGAGCCAGTGAGCTGAGCATCCATCTCTCTCTGCATCCTGACTGTGGAGGCTCTGTGACCAGCTGCCTCAGGCCTCGGCCATCACGACTTCTCAGCCATCACGGGAGCTGTGAGCCCAGTTGACCCTTCTTCCCTTCAGTTGACTCTTGTCTTGATATTGGTCACAATAGTGAGAAGAGTAAGAAACACCCCCTTTTTTTTCAAGGTGAAACAAACACCTCAGGACAATTTTGTTTCCCCAATCCTTTCCTTTGTTCTTCAGGTATGCCAGATGCCACCCAGTGTGCACAGCCACAAGGCCACCTGGTGTGCACAGCCACGAGGCCACCTGGTATACACACCCATGAGGCCACCCAGTGTGCACAGCCACGAGGCCACCTGGTGTGCACAGCCACAAGGCCACCCAGTGTGCACAGCCACGAGGCCACCTGGTGTGCACAGCCACGAGGCCACCTGGTATGCACAGCCACGAGGCCACCTGGTATACACACCCATGAGGCCACCTGGTGTGCACAGCCATGAGGCCACCCGGTGTGCACAGCCACGAGGCCACCTGGTGTGCACACCCATGAGGCCACCTGGTGTGCACAGCCACGAGGCCACACACCCATGAGGCCACCCGGTGTACGCACCCATGAGGCCACATACCCATGAGGCCACCCAGTGTACGCACCCATGAGGCCACCTGGTGTGCACACCCATGAGGCCACACACCCATGAGGCCACCTTGATGGAGGAAGGTCATTGGTTAAATAAAAAGAAACTGCTTGGCCCTCATTGGTTAGAAGATAGGTGGGAGGAGTAAACAGAACAGAATGCTGGGAGAAAGAGGAAGTGAGCTCAGACTCCACAGCTCTCCTCTCGGGACCAGATGCCTCAGAGAGACGCCATGCTCCCAGCTCCCAGGCAGACGCACGCGATGAAGCTCCGACCCAGGATGGACATAGGCTAGAATCTCCCTGGTAAGCCACCTCGTGGGTTACACTAGAAATGGGCTAGTCCAGGTGCGAGAGTTAGCCGAGAAGAGACTAGATAGAAATGGGCCAAGCAGTGATTAAATGAATACAGTTTGTGTGTTGTTATTTCGGGCATAAGCTAGCCAGGCAGCCGGGGTGCTGGGGACGCAGCCCTGCCGCCCTTATTACTACACCACCTGGTGTGCACACCCATGTTCCATACTGCGGGCTTGTTTGCTTGCTCCCAGACAAAAAGACTCCTTACGGCTATGCTATGTTTTGGTTTGGCGTTGACCAGGGCTTTCACTTCCCGTTTGTGTTGCTTTTCAGGTAAGCGCTTCCAAATTTTCTTATCACAAATTATGTTTCCCATAAACCAGGGACAGAGACCTGCAGCTTTGATTCTCTCATGACATCACCCACCACAAACCCAGTTCCCACGAGAAGGCCTTTCCCGCTCTATTCCCAGGATGCTCCCAGAATCCCCAGGGTCTGTCTTCCCCTGTTTAATCCCAGCTGTAAATTCAGCATTTGGGGGATGGAGGCAGAAGGATCGAGAACTCAAGGTCAGTCAGTCTCTACTACATACTGAGTTCTAGGCCAGCCTGGGCTACACTAGACTGCCTTCAGGTAAGGCCTCTTAGAATTCCTTGAACTCTGTCTGCTGTGGCTTTGGTAGCCAGTCTGTAACCTGTATACACACACACACACACACACACACACACACATATACACACACATACATACATACACACATACATAATTTTTTTGAGACAGGCTTTTTCTATGTAGCTCTGGCTTTCCTGGAACTCACTTTGTAGACCAGGCTGGCCTCAGACTCAGAGATCCGCCTGCCTCTGCCTCCCGAGTGCTGGGATTAAAGGCTTGCGCACCACCACTGCCAGCTCTACATGTATATATTTACTGTAAGATGTGTAATATGTGATCCAAGTGCTAATATTAAATTTAAAATGGGAATGAAAGAACTGTGTTTGCTAACTGCCAGCTATCAAGGGAAATCAAGACTACTTGGAAAATTACAGCCAACAGAACTGACATAGCTTGTGAGTTGATTGCTATTCAATAAATCCTGACATCACAGATGGATCAGACAGACACAAACATGCTCAGTCACACTCAGCACTTAAGAGGCCAAAGGAGGAGGATTCCTTCTTATTCAACACAGCCTGGGCTACATACTGAGTGCTAGTCTATGTAGCAAGATCCTATAACAGCTGGGTGGTGGTGGCACACGCCTTTAATCCCAGCACTCAGGAGGCAGAGGCGGGCAGATCTCTGTGAGTTTGAGGCCCGCATGGTCTACAAGAGCTAGTTCCAGGACAGGCGCCAAAGCTACAGAGAAACCCTATCTTGAAAAACAAAAAAAACAAAAACAAAAACAAAAAAAAGATCCTATCACAAACAATCCATAAAAACAAAAATGAAAAAAAAAAAAAACAAAAACAATGGGCTAGAGAGATGGCTCAGTGGTTAAGAGCATTGCCTCGTCTTCCAAAGGTCCTGAGTTCAATTCCCAGCAACCACATGGTGGCTCACAACCATCTGTAATGAGGTCTGGTGCCCTTTTCAGGCATGCATGCAGACAGAATATTGTATGCATAATAAATAAATAAGCAAATAAATATTAAAAAACAAAATCAAACAACCCACTTACTGGCTGCTTCTGGAAGTAGAGGGGAGACAGGCTGGGGTACGCAGCCGCTCTGACAATCTTATGTGGTTAGCATAGCTGGGAAGTGCTGAATGGCAGATGCTGTGCAGAGGAATAAGCCCGGGGGCATTCCCACCTCACAGATGAAAGAAATCAAACTCAAAAATGATCAGCTCAAATGCTGGTGGCACACACCTGCAATCCTAGCACGTGGGAGAAAGACACAGAAGGCCAAGGGCTCTAGTAGACCCGAGCATGGCGAACATGGCACCAACAGGGGTTGCTTTTTGCCCTTCTCCCCCATTCCCTCTGCCTTGCTCTATCCCAATTAGCATGCCCAATCAAAACAAACCAATTCATCCTAACACAGGATTTCCCCTTCTCCCTTTATAAACCACCATTTGCCTATGGGCCACAGCTGTCTCCTCTCTAGCCAGAGGCAGGTCCTTTGTCCCTCCAGGGCAAGCATCCTTCCCCCTTCCTATTCCTTTCCTCTTCTCCTTTGTCCTCCGTGTCCTGTCTTTGTCTATTAATCCCTGTCCTTCGTCCTTCTGGGGCAAATAAATCTTCTTTGTGCTGAGAACTTGGTCTTGCTGTCTCCTGGGGGGCTGTCCTTTCCCTAAGAAGGCTTGCTAGGGAGTTTTAGTCCAGCCTTAGCCACATAATGGAGTTTGAGGCCAGCCTGAGCTACATAAACTCAGCCTCAAAAGTAAGTAACTTATAACATTTATAATGATTATGCGAGGGTTTTCTATCTAAAAAGAAAATGATAGATAGCAAGGGGAGTTGGAAGTTTTCATGGCAAAAACTGTCTCAAGCCGGGCGGTGGTGGCGCATGCCTTTAATCCCAGCACTCGAGAGGCAGAGGCAGGCAGATCTTTGTGAGTTCGAGACCAGCCTGGTCTACAGAGCTAGTTCCAGGTCCAGGACAGGCTCCAAAACCACAGAGAAACCCTATCTCGAAAAAAAAAAAACAAAAAAAACAAAAAAAAAAAAAACAACAAAACAAAACAAACTGTCTCAAGACTTTGCCACTGAGCTTCAGGTGGGAGAAAAAAAATCTACAGTAACCCCTCTGGAGTCAGCTCCTTCCCTTCCTAGCGGATAACTAGGGCCTTTGCTCTCAGTTGCTGATCTGAAAACACAGAAATCCTCGTACAGGAATGCGCACGTCCAAAAGCCAGTCATCCTACCATTCTGAAGAGCATCCTTTTAGGAGATGAGACTTACCGTTTTTTCTCAGCATCTTACAATCCACTGCAGTGTTCTGAACTGAAAGAGAAAAAAAAAATGAAGATTAAGAGGAGCTCATTTTCCATGTGATGTTTTGGAGAGCCGATTTTTGTTTGTTTGTTTTTTGTCTGTTTTTGAGACAGGATCTCACTGTGTAGCCCTGGCTGGCCTGGAACTTTCTATGTAGACTTCAAACTCACAGAGATTCTCCTGCCTCTGCCTCCCAAATGCTGGGATTAAAGGTATGAACCATTACTCCTGGCCTGAGCATTAATTCTTAAAATATTGAATCAGGCTTACGTGCAGTAGAAAGAAAAATAGCCCAGAGTAACGGTCTGTCCAGCCGGCTCCTCATTCTCTTGAATGAGGCAAGAGAGAGGCACATGGGAGAGCCACCTGCACCCATCCTTAGTGGTGCTACTGCAGAGTGGGGTGTGGCTTCTGAAAATCCTCTTCCCAACCCCACACAGGAAGTGAGGGCGCTTAGACAAGTTTGCGCAACTTGACCCGTGACTACTTGGTCTAACTGGTCTTCCTGCTACTGGGACACGCACACTCGGCAGCTGCCCTCACAGAAAGCCTTCCTTCCTCTCTCTAGGACCTGTTTTGTGACAGCAGTTCTTTTGTTCTCTCTCCCTCACCCCCCATACACACTGGGATGGCTAAAGTTAATATTTTAAGTTTAAATCATTGTGCTTCAGAGATCTATAAACCAAAATGCTTCTAATGTGTAAGCCCCACTTGCCTAAGGACAGACAACTTTCTGGACTGTTGGGGGCTGTTGTTCATGTAAGATAAAAAAAAGGCCCTTGTTTTCACTTCTGGAAAGAAGTTTGGTTGCCCCAACTACCGGGATGTGTTTGATCACATGGAGGCTGGCAGTACTAGGCAGGAAGTATGCCTGGATGTATGCTTGCCCCTGATTGGGTGAATGTGAGAAGTGTATGGCCTGGTAAATTTTGCCTTTATAAGCCTTTGACTAATATAATCTGGTGCCAGACTCTGGGAATCCCGAGAATGGACCTGATCAGTGTCCTTTGTCCTGGCCAGTATGCAATAAATTTGCTTCACATTTGGCTCAAAAGTTGGGGTAGTAGGCTTATCCTTGGCCAGTGGGATTAACAACACCCCCACCCTGTTCCTAGCTCCCTATAAGGTGAGCCACAGGCTCCAACACTGTACATTCATGTGGATGCCAGCTGGAACCAGAGAAAGCATCTGGTCCGTAAGAACTGAAGATACAGGTGGTTGTGAGTCTCCTGATGTGGACACTGGGACCTGAACTCGGGTCCTCTGTAAACCAGCAGGTTCTTCTACTGTGAGCCATGGCTCCAGCCCCAGCATGGCTGTTTTGATACTTAAGTTAGTTACATCATTAAAAGGTTCTTCTTGCAAAAAACAAAGCAGGAGGGACTGAGCTGTGTGGTGGTGGCACACACTTTTAATCCCGGCATTTGGGAGGCAGAGGCAGGCAGATCTCTGTGAGTTTGAGACCAGCCTGGTCTACAGAGAAAGTTCCAGGACAGCCAGAGCTACACAGAGAAACCCTGTGTTGAAAACAAAAAAAGATGCTTTTTGATATTTTAATTAATTTATTAATATACATTACAAATAATCCACCTGTGGCCTTTACCCGTCTGTGGAAAACACAGAGCCTCATAGACAGCAGTACCTCCTTCCTTAAGATTAGAAAAGCATGTTTTGAGCATGGGAGATTGCAGAAGCTGAGATAGCTGTAGACAGACTTCTCTGTGTCCCAGCAGCCGCTCCCAAATAACCACACAGAGACTTAATGTCAATTATAAATCCTCGGCCAATAGCTTGGGCTTATTTTTAGCTAGCTCTTATAACTTAAACTGATCCATTTCTATTCATCTCTGTGCTGCCCCGAGGCTCGCTTACCTCCTGTCTGCACTTCCCATCCTGCATGCTCTGTGCTTCATGGCATCTCCTCTGGCTCTGCCTTTCTTCTCCCCAGCATTCCTCTGCCCCAAACATCCTGCCTGGCTATCAGCAAGTCAGCTCTTTACTCACCAATGTGAGTAATACATATTCATTTGTATAGAAAGAGTTTTCCACAGCAAATAACACAATCATGAAAGGATCTGGTAAGCATGAGAGTGATCCCTTTCCACTTATTGTCTCTGCCTTCAGGAATGCATTTTGGCTCCTACCCCACAACTTCACAAATCCTTAGGGACAGTGGCTCACGGTGGCAGCTATTATTCCTGGGCATGGCTAGTCAACAAGCTTTTCCTGCATGCTGTTCTTTAATCCCCTGGAGGACCATCATCCTCGTTTTACATTTGAAGAAATTTGCTGAGAAAGTTTTGGATTTGTGAGCATCTTGGACACTGAATATTTCGGATAGGGATGCTCACCTTGTGCTGGAAGGACTGTTTTCTGTCACTAAAGCGAGAGGACATGAGCTGGCCACGGTGGCACACACACCTGTAATCACAGAGATGCAGAGGCAAGAGGGCCAAGAGATCAAGACCAGCCTCAGCTGTAGATTGGGCTTGGAGACTGAGACTGACAGAAAGAATAGGGAGCTGGGGGTGCAGCTAGGTCAGACGGCAAAGGTCCATAACTCTGGCGCTAAGAAAGTGGGGCAGGAAGACAGAAGTTCAAGGCTGGTCTAGCTCCTGGCCAGCATGGGTTGCATGTTATGATCCTGTCTCAAAACCAAACAGACAGATATTACTGGAAGTGGGTGGATGAGGACGCGAGTCAAAGAATCCCAAGCCAACTCCAAAAGATTCCAATTATAGTTCTTTATCATAAGGGGAAAACTTATGGGACAGGAACGAGAAGTCCAACCTCAGGTATGTAACACAGGAACGAGAGAGAGAGAGAGAGAGAGAGAGAGAGAGAGAGAACGAGAGAGAGAACCCTGGGCAGGCTGGTGTTTTTAATCTGGGTACCCAAAAGGTTACACCCTAACCTGGTCCAGCCTTTTAAAGGTTACTGACTGAAGGAGGTTCCCCATCACCTCCCTCTTTTGTCTAAATAAAAGAGTTTCAAACCCAATGCAAAACTATATACAATAAGAACAGATATCAAGCAGGGTGGTATTGGTGCATGCCTTTAATCCCAGCGCTCAAGAGCCAGAGGCAGGCGGATCTCTGTGAGTTCAAGGCCAATCTGGGCTACAAGAGCTCCAGAAGAGGCTGGACAGAGAAAGCCTGTCTTGAAAGACAAACAAAAAAAATATCAAATATAAAATTAGGATTACAACCAACATATATAATATTAAGCAAGGAACACATACTAAATGTTTTAATAAACATTCTATTCTAAAGAGTCTAAGTCTTGTATTGGAAATGGCTTGGCTAAATCATAAGAGGAAGGTAACTACAACTATCTAATCTTCAACCCTATCGAAGGCCTGAGAAGGGAGATAATATTACTTGAGCAGGCAGGAAGTGCAAGCAAGCAGCTTCCAAAATGTGCAGTATATGACGGAGACAACTGGCTACCTGAGCCATCGCCCAAAGTCTCATTTGCAGTGTGGAAGCAACCAACTTTGGCTAAGGCCTAGCGTAACTGCCAGACCATTTTCAGAGGCAGGAAAATTTCAGAACTGTCTTACCCTGTCTTGGCAAGGTTTGGAAATCTTTTTCCTTGTGTCCTTCTTATTCAGTCCAGATACCTTGCACTTTATCAGTGGTCAAAGCATGGGCAGTTCTTTGCCCAAGGACCAGTTGTGTCAAGAAGAAAACAAACTCTGAGTGGAGTGTCTTCAATGCTCAACATTCTCTCAGAAATAGATTAGTGCTGTCAGGAGCAATTGTGTATCACATCAACAGAATCTTAAGTTATTTAAATGCCATATTCTACAGATCTTTCAAGCGGTTGAAGAGTACCTATCTATGTATCTAAAGAACCTGATTAATCTGATTATATGTATAACAAACATGAATAACTATTGACCTATAATACTTAATACCTGTATAACTTAAAGACTAAGACTTTTTATCAGAATATTAAATGGGTTAAATCAAAATATAAGAGTTAGTCGAGTTGTGAGCCTGCCACAGAAGAAGCAAGATGTGATTACCTTGCTGAAAAAGGTACTGAGCCATGTGGCTAGCATAGACAAGAATAATGGGCTAATATAAGTTATACGAGTTAATAAGAAGCCTGAGCTAATGGGCCAATCAATTTATAGTTTTAAAAAAAAGAGTAAGTCGATGCCAGGAAATGGTGGTGTGCACCTTTAATCCCAGCAGTCAGGAGGCAGAGGCAGGTGGATCTCTCTGAATTCAAGGCCAGCCTGGTCTACAGAGCGAGTTCCAGGACAGACTCCAAAAAGCTACAGATAAACCCTGTCTCAAAAAAAAAAAATAGCCAAAAGTACGCCTAAGCTATTGGCCAAACAGTAATTCAATTAATATAGTTTCTGTGTGATTATTTTGGATCAGGGCAGCTGGGAGTAAATAAATGCCAACAGATTGGCATGCCAATGAGGTCTAAAACATTGGGCCTGATGCCTGCCACCCACTTCAGGTCCAGATGCTTTTGTGCCCACTCAGGATCTGGAAAAAGTAGCTGAGACCATGCCCTCAGCTCAGCATTCCTCGCCTGGGCAGGTGGTGGCATCAGGACACGAGCAGGAGAGCATGTCAGATTCCTGCCACCATACACAGATGTTTCCAGGCCGCATACTGCGCTACATGGCAGATTTAGCCTTTTCTCAGATAGAAAGGGTTTATATGGGGCTGGAGAGATGTCTCGGTGGTTAAGAGCATTGACTGCTCTTCCAGAGGTCCTGAGTTCAATTCCTGGCAACCATATGGTGACTCACAACCACCGGTAATAAGATCTGATGCCAACTTCTGTCTGCAGGGACACATGCAGGCACACCATTGTATACATAATAAATAAATAATTTTTTTTTAAAAAAAGACAAATTCAAATAAAAAAGACCTCTAAATGAAAATGTGTCACAGTGTTAAAAAAAATGTACATAGGGGGCTGGAGAGATGGCTCAGTGGTTAAGAGCATTGCCTGCTCTTCCAAAGGTTCTGAGTTCAATTCCCAGCAACCACATGGTGGCTCACAACCATCTGTAAAGAGATCTAGCGCCCTCTTCTGGCCTTCAGGCATACAGACAGAATATTGTATACATAATAAATAAATAAATAAATGTACATAGGCTTAAGAAAAAAGTAGAGAGTTAAAAAAAAGTAAATAATTTTTGAAAATAAAACAAAGTCTTTAAAGAGACAGAGTAAACTTATAAAAAGTAATAGAGTAAAAAAATAAGCCACGTAACAATAAAATACACAGAGAGTTTAAATTATATATACTATTGTGTTTTCTTTAAATTATTTGACTGTAAAGGAGCTAAGTATAGAGAGAGATTTTATTGTATGGGCTACTAAGCTAAACCAGCATATATAC